TCTTATGGTTTGGCTCCCTCCCTCTCTAACCTCTTTTTTTTTTTTTTCTTCCCCTCCCCCATGGTCTTCTGTTAAGTTTCTCAGGATCCACATAAGAGTGAAAACATATGGTATCTGTCTTTCTCTGTATGACTTATTTCACTTAGCATAACACTCTCCAATTCCATCCACATTGCTACAAAAGGCCATAATTTATTCTTTCTCATTGCCACATAGTATTCCATTGTGTATATAAACCACAATTTCTTTATCCATTCATCAATTGATGGACATTTAGGCTCTTTCCATAATTTGGCTATTGTTGAGAGTGCTGCTATAAACATTGGGGTACAAGTGCCCTCTGCATCAGCACTCCTGTATCCCTTGGGTAAATTCCCAGCAGTGTTATTGCTGGATCATAGGGTGGATCTATTTTTAATTTTTTGAGGAACCTCCACACTGCTTTCCAGAGTGGCTGCACCAGTTTGCATTCCCACCACCAGTGCAAGAGGGTTCCCGTTTCTCCACATCCCCTCCAGCATCTATAGTCTCCTGATTTGTTCATTTTGGCCACTCTGACTGGCGTGAGGTGATATCTGAGTGTGGTTTTGATTTGTATTTCCCTGATGAGGAGCGACGTTGAGCATCTTTTCATGTGCCTGTTGGCCATCCGGATGTCTTCTTTAGGGAAGTGTCTATTCATGTTTTCTGCCCATTTCTTCACTGGATTATTTGTTTTTCGGGTGTGGAGTTTGGTGAGTTCTTTATAGATTTTGGATACTAGCCCTTTGTCCGATATGTCATTGCAAACATCTTTTCCCATTCCGTCGGTTGCCTTTTAGTTTTGTTGGTTGTTTCCTTTGCAGTGAAAAAGATTTTTATCTTCATGAGGTCCCAGTAGTTCATTTTTGCTTTTAATTCCCTTGCCTTTGGGGATGTGTCAAGTAAGAAATTGCTGCAGCTGAGGTCAGAGAGGTTTTTCCCTGCTTTCTCCTCTAAGGTTTTAATGGTTTCCTGTCTCACATTCAGGTCCTTTATCTATTTTGAGTTTATTTTTGTGAATGGTGTAAGGAGGTGGTCTAGTTTCATCCTTCTGCATGTTGCTGTCCAGTTCTACCAGCACCATTTGTTGAAGAGACTGTCTTTTTTTCCACTGGATATCCTTTCCTGCTTTGTCAAAGGTTAGTTGGCCATACTTTTGTGGGTCTAATTCTGGGGTTTCTATTCTATTCCATTGGTCTATGTGTCTGTTTTTGTGCCAGTACCATGCTGTTTTGATGATTACAGCTTTATAGTAGAGGCTAAAATCTGGGATTGTGATGCCTCCCGCTTCGGTCTTCTTCAAAATTACTTTGGCTATTGGGGGTCTTTTGTGGTTCCATACAAATTTTAGGATTGTTTGTTCTAGCTTCGAGAAGAATGCTAGTGCAATTTTGATTGGGATTGCATTGAATGTGTAGATAGCTTTGGGTAGTATTGACATTTTAAAAATATTTATTCTTCCAATCCATGAGCACGGAATGTTTTTCTATTTCTTTATATCTTCAATTTCCTTCATAAGCTTTCTATAGTTTTCAGCTTACAGATCTTTTACATCTTTGGTTAGGTTTATTCCTAGGTATTTTATGATTCTTGGTGCAATTGTGAATGGGTCCGTTTCTTTATTTGTCTTCCTGTTGCTTCATTATTAGCGTATAAGAATGCAACTGATTTCTGTACATTGATTTTGTATCCTGCGACTTTGCTGAATTCATGTGTCAGTTCTAGCAGACTTTTGGTGGAGTCTGTCGGGTTTTCCATGTATAATATCATATCATCTGCAAAAAGTCAAAGCTTGACTTCATCTTTGCCAATTTTGATGCCTTTGATTTCCTTTTGTTGTCTGATTGCTGATGGTAGAACTTCCGACACTATGTTAGACAACAGCGGTGAGAGTGGATGGTGGCTTATTTTTTTCGGTTAATTTTATGATGTGCCCTTTTCCATGCCAGCACATACAGAACTCTCTCATTCCTTTAAAATGTTTTTTAGCTTTGATTTTTTTAATATAATAAATAAATATATATAATATAAAATATATAAATATAAAGTTCTACAAAATATGTAATAAATATGTTTACATCCCACAGAATTTAAATAACATAAGAATATATGATGGAAAAAATTAATTTTCCAATCCTGTTTCCCAACTATTTTCTGTATGGGAGCCAGTCATTTTACATCTCAATGTCTCTTTCAGTGGTTTCTTTTAGTGTTCTCTTTTATGAATGGATCATAAATTGTTCATCCATTGCCTTAAACAATAGTTAGGTTGCTTCCAAGAATGTTTTTTTATCCATAAAAATAGGGCTACAGTGGAAAAGCTCATACACAGAACTTAATTCTTTTAGGCCTTAATTACAGATTTTTTGCATTGAATTTTATTTAGTTTTTATTTAGTTTTTTATTTTGAAAAATTTAAATGTGTAGAAAAGTTAAAAAAAATAGCAGTAATAGAGGTTCACATACCTATCAACATCCAATATAACTGGATGTTATATTGTTAACATTTTGCTACATTTGTTTTATCTCTCTCTATGCATATGCTTTTTATGGGTGTGGTGACCTATTTGAAATTGGTATAGGCACCATGACATATGTAAATAATAACCTCAGCCACCCCCATTTTGAGATCTGGGTGTGCACAGAAGATATGAGCTAAATACTTGATTGTGCAGCTCCTAAAAATAAGGGTATATTCTCCTCCTCATGCATCTGCAATAACATCACATCTCAGAAAATGAATACTGTCGTATTCTTGCCATTTTCAAATTTCTCCAATTGTCCCCAATAGTCTTTTAGAGCCTTATTTTTATATTTAAAAAAATTTTTGTGTGTATTTATTTTTGTATATGTGCTGCCGAAGCGAGCACTGTGTGTATTTATTTTTGAGAGAGACAGAGAGAGAGCAAGCATGAGTGGGGGAGGGGCAGAGAGAGAGGGAGACACAGAATCCCAAGCAGGCGCCAGGCTCTGAGCTGTCAGCACAGAGCCTGATGTGGGACTTGAACCCACGAAACTGTAAGATCATGACCTGAGCCGACGTCAGACGCCCAACCGACTAAGCCACCCACGTGCCTCTATAGCCTTTTTTAAAAATGAGGATCTATCTATCTGGGGCGCCTGGGTGGCTCAGTTGGTTGCATGTCCAACTCTTGATTTCAGCTCAGGTCATGAGATCAAGCTCCATGTGGGGCTCCACACTGAGCATGGAGCTTGCTTGGAATTCTCTCTCTCTTTCTATCTCTCTCTCTCCCCCTCTGCTCCTCTCCCCAACTCATACACTCTCTCTTTAAAATAAAGTTAAAAAAAAATTTTTTAATAAAATAACATGAGGATCTTTCGAGTTTTACCCATTGCTTTCATTGCCATGTCTCCTTACTCTCCTTTAATCTTTAATTCTTTGAAGAGTCTACAACTGTTTCCTCCCCTCCAAACTGAGAGATTGGTGCACAAAATCACTACCACCTTCTGGATCTATTTGATTGCTGTCTTACAGTGTCATTTAACTTGCTCTTCTGTGCTACATTTCCTGTACACTGGAAGTCAGTCTACAGATTAGATGGAATTTCAGGGTCAGCATTTTTGACCAGAATATACCAGAAGGCCCATAAGATCGGGCTGTTCCTCACAGGTCACTGGATGACAAAGCCTGTGGCCGGGTGGAGGAGTGGCACTCAGCCTGTGCCGCATGCCTCACCCTGAGCCCCTTGGTCTGTGTCCCGGCAGCGTCCCTTCCTCAAAAGCTTGTGGGCCGTTCACCAACTTCAACACCACCTGGGAGGTGGTCCCCACGACAGTGAGCACCTTTCCCAGCTCACTGCAGTCCCTGGTCCATGGCGTCACCTCGGAAGCCTTTGCAGTGCCTTTCTTCATGATCATCTGGTGAGTAAGAACCGCTTAGACCCTTGCGAGGATTCTCCATTGAGACATGTGGACTCCTCTCCACTGGGAAATGGAAGCCCACCTGTTACGCTTGATAAGTCATCTCTAAAATGGGCATAGTAATAGTGATTCTTTAAGAGCGTCGTTGAGCGGGTTCTTTAAGATCCTGCAGGTGAAGCCCTGAGCCCAATGCCTGACATAAATCCAATGAACTTTGTCGATTAATATTACTGATTATTCACAAAATCACTGGCTCTTTGATAAAATAAATCATTACTGGGCAGAGAGAAGAGCACCAGGTTAGACACATGCACTTGAACCCTGGCTCTACTGCTTCTAAGTAGTCTGTGTCCTTTCTGCGCCTCCATTTCCTCACCTGGAAAATGGGGATAAGAATGGCACATACCTTATAGGGTTGTGACATGAAGGAAATGTGGTTAATGATGTAAAATGCTGGTGCGCCTGGGTGGCTCAGTCGGTTAAGTGTCCGACTTCAGCTCAGGTTGTGATCTCACAGTTCGTGAGTTTGAGGCCCGTGTCATCGTGCTCTGTGCTTGACAGCTCAGAGCCCGGAGCCTGCTTCGGATTCTGTATCTCCCACTCTCTGTGCCTCCCTCCCTCTCTCTCTCTCTCAAAAATAAACATTAAAAAAATTTTTTTAATGTAAAATGCATTTTTATTTTATTTTTATTTTTATTTTTTTTAACTTTTTTAATGTTTATTTTTGAGAGAGCAAGAGAACGAGAGAGAGCAGGTGTGGGGGAGGGGCAGAGAGAGAGAGGGAGACACAGAATCCAAAGCAGGCTCCAGGCTCTGAGCTGTCAGCACAGAGCCCTACGTGGGGATCAAACTTGTGACCACAAGATCATAACCTGAGCCGAAGTCAGACGCTTAACTGACTGAGCCACCCAGGCACCCCTAAAATGCATTTTTAAATGTAAAACGCCAGCAGAGGACCTGGCCCTTAGTAAAGGCTCAGTAAATGACAGGTGTTATATGTCAGGGTGACAAGAGTCATTGCTGCATAGTGATTGATTTCGCGTGTTAAAGTAATTCTAATCACAAATGTACATTGAGGGCTTACTGTCTTCGTTATTCATAGATTTCAGGGTGTTTTTTTTCTGTATTGTGAATATGCCTACTTGCTAAAATATTTTACAACCCCCAAAATCAGTTTCAAACCATCAGTTTCATGGTCATTTGTGGACTTGTACAGAGTAGCAAAAAATTTGAGTCACCCAAAGGGCATTTGTCTTAGTCTGTTTGGTCTGCTATAACAAAATATCATAGACTAGGTGGCTTATAACAACAGAAATTTATTTCTTACAGTTCTGAAGACTGGGAGTCCAAGATGAGCATGATTAGGGGAGAGACCTCTTCTGGCTTACAGACTTCTGGTGTCCTCACATAGCAGAAGGGCTGAGCTAGCTCTCTAGGGTCCCTTTTATCAGGGCACTAATGCCATTTGTGAGGGACCTAATCACCTCCCGGAGGCCCCACCTTCTCATGCCATCACCTTGGGATTAGGATTTCAGCGTACGGATTTTGCGGGCACACATTCAGACCATAGCATGCATGTAACCAGCTGAGGTCAAACAAGGCAATAAGCCTGCCATCTTCTTTCCGCTTTCATACTACAAATGTCTTTGGTGACCTATTTAGTGCCATGTTTCTTGCATTTTGTGCTTTTGGTGGCTCATTTCCCGGTATAAACCCGTCCCAAGCATAGTGCTGAAGTGCTTCTCATGTTCCTAAGTGCAAAGAGGCTGAGATGTGCCTTACAAAGAAAATCTGTATGTTAGATAAGCTTCATTCAGGCATGGGTTATGGTACTGTTGACACTGAGTTCAGAGTTAAGGAATCAACAATAATGGTAACTAAATTATCTTTAGACAGAAGCAAGATTATGTATTGATAACTGATTTGCTCAATGAATAAGAAACATAAAACAAGGTATTGATCAGTTGACAAAAATGTTGTGACCAGTGACTCAAGGAACCTCCCCTTGTATTTCCCCTAGGGCCATTGGTTCAGAATTCACTAATCAGGTGTTCCTAGAAGCTTTATAGAACTACCACAAATAACTAGAATTGATTGTAGCTGGTATGTATTAACTGTAATGAATGAAATCATCGCAATTTACCCCATGATAGAGATATTCTTACAGTAAAGCCCCACCCAATGCAAGAAGTGAGCTTCAGAAATGTATTTGTTAAAGGCATGATACCTTTGATGAGATTAACAACATGGTTTGGGGGAGCTGTGCAGACAACCAGCCTGGAATTCTGAGGACCCCAGGATGCAGAGACTCCTGGCCCCGTGCATTTACTCCAGCTGTCATTTGGCTGACGCCATCTGGTGGCGGTTACCTGATCTGGCCATTCTTGTCCTGTGGCCATTGTATCTTCTAGAAGAGTTTCATTGATATCAGTGTTTCCAGTGGCCCTCATTTCCTCAGCCCTATCTGGGGAGATTGGACAGGAAACCACCTCCCCTTTATGGAATGGAATGAGTTGCCTACTCTTTTCCTGGGGGCTTGCTCTCCACTCCACTTGCTCCTCACCCCAAAGACAGTCATTTCAATCACCCCACTTTGAGATCTGGGACTACATGGAAGATAGGAGCCAATTGCCAGTTGCTTTTATTCAAAAATGTATTATCCTAGGCTTGTTGTCCCTGGGGTTTACTATATTATCCCCATTTTACAGATGAGGAAACTGAGACGAGGGGGGTTCCACAGTGATTATCCACAGCCAGTGCATTCTATGCTGAGCTGACTTTCTGGACCATTTCCTTGTCTCTCCCTATCATATTCTATGTGCCAAGGGAACAGCAACAACTTTTAATATTAGCTTAAAAAGCAAGGCATGAATCAGTCTCTGCTACCACTGCCAACTCACAACCCCTCTGGGGCCATTTCTGATTGCCCTCTGCTTAGGATGAATGAGTTTTGTCTTTCTTTTTCTTTTTCCTTTTCCTTTCCTTTTCTCTTCTTCCCTTTCCTTCCTTCCTTCCTTCCTTCCTTCCTTCCTTCCTTCCTTCCTTCCTTCCATTCCTTTCTCCCTCCCTCTCTTCTTTTCCTTCCTTCTTTTCCTAACAACAGTAAAACTGTCGTGGGCAAAATGGATCAGGTGGTTTTTCTAGTGGCCTTCAAATGGTGCAAACTCCCTACTGACCTCTCCACCTTGTGTTGCAGCCTCATTATGTTTTATTTCATCGCCCTTGCCGGAGCACACAAGCGGGTGGTGGTCCAGCTCCGAGAGCAGCTGTCCCTGGTAAGGAAGAGCAGGTCCAGAGGGTCATGGCTGGGGACCTTTACCCAGGACATCTAACAGAAAGTGGCACTTTTCCCAGGGAGAGGGTGGAATGCTGTGGCCCCGCTCACCGCCACTTTCCTAAACTCTGCATTCAGGCCAGGCCTTCCCCAGCTTCATTCATCCAGTCTTTCAACATGTGTATTGATCACTCCCTGCTCTTCACACTGTGCTGGGATATGGTGGTGATAAAGGGAGACAAGATTGCTAAATAGTTACAGAAAAAGTGATAAATTTCAATAGCAGTAACTGCCATGAAGAGAACACAGACAAGATGAGTGGCCATCTACTGCTGTCGATGGTGGCCCCTGAAGCCCACTTTGAGGAGGTGACATTGGAGCTGAGACTTGAATGCTGTGGGAGGTCTTGGGGATGAGAGTAACAGGCAGAGGGGACAGTGAGGGCACCCCTGGGGCTGGAGGACGGTGGCTTATCAGCGGGGGTTACAGCATAGTCTGAAGGCTCTGTTGAGAAGATTGAGTTTAATTCTGAGTGTGATGGGAAACCAGTGAAATGTGTTCGGTAGCAGTCTGGTGTACATTTCTTTTTAATGTTTATTTATTTTTGAGAGAGAAAGAAAGAGAATATGAGCAGGGGTAGGGCAGAGAGAGAGGGAGACAGAATCCGAAGCAGGCTCCAGGCTCTGAGCTGTCAGCACAGAGCCTAACGCAGGGCTTGAACCCACAAACTGCAAGATCGTGACCTGAGCTGAAGTCGGATGCTTTACCAACTGAGCCACCCAGGCGCCTCCTGATGTACATTTTTACAAGACTGTTGGCCACTTTGTCGACAAGGGGCCATGGAGGGGCAAGAGTGCCAGAGGCAGACCAGTTTGGAGGCCATTACAACCATCCGGGGGTTAGGATCATTAACTGTGAGTCTGACAGGCAATTTATTAGGTTGAAATGATGATACATGTATCCAAAAATATTGAATGTGCTCTTGCACCCATCTCTGTCTTTAGGAAAGTCGTGACAAGCGTTATCTAATTCAGAAACTAACGGAAGCCCAGAGGGATATGAAGAACCGTCTAGACTGGCAGTGAGGATCCTACTGCGTGTTGCTCAGAAGCTGACCTGCTGAGCCTACAGAGTCCACCTGGGTTTGGAGCAGAGATTTTAAAATATATTTTTCTGGAGTTGAGACTTTTCCTGAAAGTAGCTCCATATTATGCAGCTGCGGTGGCTGTAACCCACCTCTAATATAACCCAGCCCCTCATTTTAGTGTCTTAGAAAGACCAGGTTCAAACCTGGTTTGCCTATAGACCAGCAGCTTGGTGACTCCCCCACAAAACTAACTTACTTAGCCGTTTAGGCTGATAGAACAAAATTTGAGGAGGAGAGCCCTTTTATATTTTTCAAAGTGCATTTGTGTTGTCTTTTACAGTTAATTGTGGGAGTCATCTGTTCATGAGACTGGGCTCGTTCTTTTGAACCAGGTTCTGGAGTTTTAGGCTGAGAAGTGTTCCTTAAGAAGTAGTAATCCTTTTTAAATGGTTCCAAGACCTGATTTTTTTTTTTTTTTTTTTCATGAAGAGAAATCCTTTAATTCAGATGTTTGAGACAGATGGTGGAAACATGGAGAGGGTGGCTATATAAGTCCAGTTACCTGGTAGTAATATGAGAGAGAAAAGCCATCCCTGCTGTGTGAATAAGGTTAAGTTTGGGGAGGAGGGGAATGCTGTGGATTGGGGGCCTTGATGTCTTAGTTCCTGGGTATTTTGCTGCCGCCTTATTACTCGGGGGTGGGGAGGTGTTCGGGGTTGGGGGGGAACTGTCTCTAAGGTGCTGGGTATCCACAGGTCTTGAGTTCCCTTCTGGTCCTGAGTTCTGAGACTTAGTAGAGGGCCCTGGGTATCAAAATTAAGAGGCAAAGCTTGTCTTTCAAGTCTTCCAAATGCCATTTTCCTTCCTGCACTGAGGTCCCCATTTCTCATGGACACTTCACATTTCAGAGCCAGGCCGGAAAAGGCAGTTGAGTGTGTGCATGGAGCACAGGGGGCCATGGTTTATGTGCATAAGTGTTTGAGGATCATGGGTTGCAGCATCAGACCAGCCTGTGCAAGTGTCCCAGAGGACACTGAATGCTGGCATCTGCAATGCCATATGTTCAGGGCTATTGTTTCCTTGTGCCTAAAATTTTAAGTTTTATTTTACATGATAGGCAGAGTACCGCTTAAGATTTCCGTTACAGCAAAAACCACATGCAGTAAATACCTCGTCATAAACTTACATGGAATCGATAGCTCTGAACCTTTTAGTAAGCCTAAGTTATGGTTTCACGTAATCAGTTTGTGTCTTAATTATCTTCAGAATCTTTTTTAAAGTACTGAGTTTTGTAACAGACCATCGGAGCCTTTCTTCTGTTGTTTTCCTTCCTTTCACAGGCTCTAAACCTTTCCTCGGGAGTAACCTGGAGTTTAAAGCTGGGTACCTGTTTTGGAAAGCCGTGCTCTGCTAAGAGTATTCCCATCCCCACCCCCAACCCGCCATTACTCAAAACGATGGACCCCTTGCTCTGAGGAGCAAAGAATGCTTTCCATAGTTTACACATTTCTATATATTTGTCCCTTTGCCAGATCATTTTCTTGCTGTTCCCCAAAGTTACCATTAACATGTGATACTTTTGTACCTGTGAGACAAATGAGCTACTAGTATCACAGAATTTTGAGTAACCAAAAGTTCACTCTAGCCTCACTTGAAAAAAATTCTAATTGTTGGTATTTTTACCTACTGCACTTATTTATATGTTTTTGCTTTCACCATGCTTCTGAGAACAGTCAAGTTTGTGTGTGTGTGTGTGTGCGCGCACGTGCGCACATGTGTGTGTACATATGTAAGTGTGTGAGATGGAAACTCCATTTTCTTTCCCTGTTATAAAATTGATACTGAAGTATGCTAATATATTCATTTTGGTTAAATGCTGCTGATTTGCATACCTCTTACTTGAATGTTTTTATATATTTTGATAACTTTAATAACTTCAAGTGATGTCTGTATAATTGTTGAAGTACAGGTCTAACAAATGTGCCTTAAAACTACTGATTAAACAGTGTCTTGAAGGTTTTAAAATGTGTTTGTGTATATTTGAATTCCTGGAGGTTTCTTGTCAGCAATGAAGTGATTGTGGAAAACTAACAGTTTATAAAGTTGTTCTTTGCCTTTTCCTAGAATCACAGAAGTTTTTTTTTTTTTTTTTTTTTTAAGTTTATTTGTTTTGAGAGAGAGTGTGCACAGGGAAGGGGCAGAGAGAGAATCCCAATCAGGCTCCATGTTCAGCACAGAGCCCAGTGGGGCTCAGTTCCCCCAACCATGAGGTCATGATCTGAGCTGAAGTCAACTGACTGAGCCACCCAGGCACCCCAAATGACAGAGGGTTTAATGCAGTCATCAGATGAGTGCTTTTAAGACTCCTTGGCTCTACCGAAGCCAGGAAGGAGTATAGGTATGTGTTTTAAACTAAAAACACATAAAATTATTTCAAGCACTCCTCTCCCAATCCTCCACCCCCCAGAGGGAACCACTGCTAATGTTTATTTTCTTTTCCCAGAAAATTATAATACATATTCAAACAGATATATATGTGTGGTTGAATGCATGAAAAATGTATATTTCTGAGCTTCTCCCTTTTTCCTCCTTAATAACATCTTGAAGATCTTTCCATATAAATAGCCACCTGTTCTTTTTAATAGCTACATAGCATCCCATTGTATCAGTGTATACTTCCATAACGATATGTTCCTTGCTAGGTACTTTATTTTCCACTCACCAACACTGCCCTCCACCCTCTCCCGTTGCAAACATGGGGAGTTTTAAAAGTCCCTCCAGGGGCGCCTGGGTGGCGCAGTCGGTTAAGCGTCCGACTTCAGCCAGGTCACGATCTCGCGTTCCGTGAGTTCGAGCCCCGCATCAGGCTCTGGGCTGATGGCTCAGAGCCTGGAGCCTGTTTCCGATTCTGTGTCTCCCTCTCTCTCTGCCCCTCCCCCGTTCATGCTCTGTCTCTCTCTGTCCCAAAAATAAATAAAAAACGTTGAAAAAAAAAAAAGTCCCTCCAATCATGTCTCTATTGTCTCTATTTCCCTGTTCTGCTCCATTCTCCTAAAGAAGGTTCTTGTTACTATTATTTTTTTTGCCTACAAAACAGGGCTTTATTGGAATTTAAAATTCTTAATTAAAAAAAATTTTTTAACATTTATTTATTTTTGAGCGACAGAGAGAGACAGAGCACAAGCAGGGGAGGGGCAGAGAGAGAGGGAGACACAGAATCTGAACCAGGATCCAGGCTCTGAGCTGTTAGCAGATGCGGGGCTTGAACTCACGAACCCTGAGAATCATGACCTTGAGATGAAGTCAGACGCTTAACCGACTGAGTCACCCAGATGCCCCTAAAATTCATAAATTTTTAAATCAAAGGAATAAAACTTAAAACAAAATATATATTTTTAATTTTCTATTATTTTTTATTCTTAGGTTTTATTTCCAATTTTAATATAAATTCTAGTTAGTTAACATATAGTATAATACTGGTTTCAGGAGTAGAATTTAGTGATTCATCACTTATAATATGCAGTGCTCAACGCAGCAAGTGCCCTCCTTAATGCCCATCACCTATTTTAGCCCATCCCCCCCCTCCCACTCTAGCAACCCTCAGTTTGTTCTTTATAGTTAAAAGTCTCTTATGGTTTGCTTCTCTCCCTTCTCCCCCTCCCCTGTGTTCATCTGTTTTGTTTCTTAAATTCCACATATGAGTGAAATCATATGGTATTTGTCTTTCTCTGAATGACTTATTTTGCTTAGCATAATACACTCTGGCTCCATCCATATCGTTGCAAATGGCAAGATTTCATTCTTTTTGATGGCTGAGTAATATTCCATATATATATATATATATATATCCATTATATATAATGTCCATTATATATAATGTCCATTATATATACACATATATACATGTATACACATATACATATACACACACGATCTTTCTTTCAAAAAAAAGTTTCAGGTTTATTTATTTTTGAGAGAGAGCGTGAAGAGGAGAGGGGCAGAGAGAGAGAGGGAGACACAGAATCCAAAGCAGGCTCCAGACCCTGAGCTGTCAGCACAGCCCGATGTGGAGCTCAAACTCATGAACCATGAGATCATCACCTGAGTTCAAGTCAGACGCTTAACTAACTGAGCCACCTAGGTGTCCCAACACATCACATCTTCTTTATCCATTCATCAGTTGATGGACATTTGGGCACTTTCCAGAATTTGGCTGTTGTTGATAATATTGCTATAAACATTGGGATGCATGTACCCTTTCAAATCAGTATTTTTGTAGACTGGATAAATACCAAAGGCTATAAATCTGCTTAAATTGCTGGGTCATAGGGTAGTCTGTTTTTTAACTTTTTGAGGAAACTCCACACTGTTTTCCAGAATGGCGGCACCAGTTTGCAATCCCACCAACAGTGCATCAGAGGGTTCCCCCAGAACACGTTCTTGTTCTTTATCAAGGCAGCCTTGCATGTTCTTGCAATCACAGAATATTCTCATCCCAGCAAAGAGAAGAATCCAGCTGGGCAAGTTTTTTGTTTGCATTAATTCTTAAGTTGGCAACATCTGATAGCAGCTACTCAGGAGTAAGTAATGATGAAGAAGACCATCCGTTTTGCCGGAGTGGAGCTGCAAGGTCTGATCCCTGGGAAGACAGGATTTCTGAATGTATCTTCTTTATATAGGGTACGGCTTTATTAGTAAATTCCATTTTCTGTTTTTTCTCTCCAATGCATGGGATGCTTGGGACCTGGGATGGCTTTGCTACTTGCTTCGTGTCTTCACCTTTCTGAGATAAAATTCCCTTTAAAATGGAAAATAATACATATAGTTACTTTCATTTTTGAGAATGGAGTTAGGGACTAATATACTTTCTCTTTCTGAAATCTTGTTTTCTCCTTATACTTGTTTGTTATAGAAAATATTGAGAACACTGAAAGGTACAGAGAAAAAAATCACATATAAGCACCATTTATCGACATTCACTGCTAATCTTGCCAAATTCCTCTTAAGATAGAAAGCACGAAGGGAGGGAGGATGGGATGAAAAGAAAGAAAAAAAATGTTGGTATTCTTTTCACTTACCGTGTTATTTCATGTTATTA